TTTTTTTTTTTTTCACTTGAGTTTTCAAAGATTTCTTTATTTCATAGCAGACATTATGATTTTAAACATCAAAAAAGAAGCTGTCCTTCAAAATAAAGGCTCAGAAAGTTTAGACTCTGATCACTTTCATATTTTCATGCTGCCTAGAAAGTATTTTGCCTCCTAGAAGGCCACATTCCCTTTGGATCCTGTTCTCAAAAGTCCCTAGCGAATGTTCGCTCTTCCTATACATCTGATAACCTTTCTGCTCTCAGCACAACAGAAAGATTTTTTTTCTTCCTCCTGATCATCCCCAGATGGCTGTTCCCAGGGTTGACTCTCACGACCTTCCTTCCTTCCCTCTTCTCCATAACAGAGACTTCAGAAACACCTCTTAGATGTTCTTACATTAGAGTGATCAGTGTACAAACTTTGACAGAGACTGTGACAGCTTCTTTTGTGTTGTGGTAATAATGTTTCACACAATTGCTATTAAAAAAAAGAAATCTGAACTCATTAAAAAATCCTCCTTTTTCACTTTTGCTTTTTTAAACTATTATTTTTAAAACAATTCACTGTTACATGTTTTTGACTGTCCCTCAGCTTTCTACGTTAACATGGAGGAAACACTTAGCTTTTAAACCATGAAAACATGTAAGATTAACCCTACTTTAGAAGACCTTAAAAATAGTGAGAGGAACTTTTATCAGGCCTAAAACATTGCACGTACTGAAAAAAATTATTAATCCATAATAAATATTTTATTTGATCTTACATCAAAACAGTAATTTCAAAGGCAATTTCCAAAGAAAATACCTACCTGAATGTATTTTTTTGTGTTTTGTCAGATGGTCATGCCGAATAAATGTTTTCCCACACTCTTCACATTCATATCTCTTGTCATCGTGGTGGACTCTTAGATGAAGTCTGTATATTTATAGACATAAATATAACCATAAAATGAAATTTTGTTAACATAACCTGTACTGCTAATTCCATGCAAAATACCAGACTTTAATGCTCCTCACAAATATCAGGAAATAGCTTTCAGCTGAGGTATCCTTAAACTGCTCTTAGAAAGTAAGAGAGAACAGAGCTAAACTCTCATATCTGAGGTTAACTTAGCAGGATATTTTAGTCCTCTGCTTATTTTCTCTTTGAATAACAAAGATGAAAAAGTTTTAGATGTGCAAGAAAGTCAACTTTGATACAAGATTTGCATAGGATTCTGTCTGTATTAAAAATTAAATTACTTCTCACAGGTTATTAACATATTTTCAACATTTAAGCATGTTAAAGGCATCTACTAATACTCTCAGAGTTAGAATAAATCAAGACAGATACATTATGAAAAAAATTGTTGATAACATAAATGCATATATATCACCAAACAAGCGAGACAGTTTAGCAGCTTATTTAATAAAAATCTGTACCTGTAAGAGCTGCCATGACGAAAACTCTGTCCACAAATACTGCAAAGATGAGGCTTCTCTCCACTGTGAATTCTCAGATGTTCTTTCAGAGTTGTTCTGTTTAACAAAGGCAGTAAAATTTAATTTGGAGGAATGTCACTGCCACTTTAAAGTGAAACAGATTATCAGTTTCTCAATGTCTGTAACTCTGATGGATTGCCATATACCCAAATAACTGCACCAACGTATTCAGATACATACATCTATACGTACATCCAAAGGCAGCATGGCAACCTATCTACTATTTACTGAACCAGCTGCGTGTACATATAACACAAGCGAAGAAACAAAACATCGTCCCAACATACATTTGGACAACATACATCAATGAAAACATCAATTTCGACACTATTTTCTATGTAATAATTTTCTTACTACTATATGTACAAAGCCAGAGCTTTAAAGTCAAACTTGATGGAAATCTAGATCATGGATGTGAATGTAACTTAACTCAGCACACAGCTTATTTAAATACATTTTTATACACACATATATACGTATACATATGCATACACATATATATGTATACATATGCCTACTTTTACTATCACCTTTCCAATGCAAAAAAAAAAGCACACGCAGGTGAAAATTCCTCTCAAGCAAAGGAATAAGACAATTATATTTACTGTATACACAGCTGCTGTGTGAACTAAACAAAAGAGAAAATTATTTGATCTCCTTCCAGTACTTATTATAAATAGTTTTCCAAAGATATTTTTTATGCTTTACACAAAAACATTCTCTTTTCTAATGAGAGCAACAACATTTAAATATTCAACTGCCTTACATAACGTAAATGAAACTTGAAGTGTGTAAACATCTTGACCTTTTTTCATCAGAAATCCTTCTTAAAGTTCAAAGTGAGCTTTATAGACCTGAAAGACTATCTGTGGTTTGTTTACCATTTCATTATTGCATGAGTACATTTTCTTTTAACAGTTGCATACCCTATTGGCTAAACTACTAGAAAATACACACCATCCACAAAACCCATTAGGCACAAATCTTCCTCTTAGAATACTTCCAGGGGTCTCTGCCAGTCATTGGAAAAAAAATAAATCAGAAATCAAGAAAACATACTGCAGTGCACAAACTCAGAGCTTTTCATATTCCTCATATAAAGCATAACTAGAATCTTAGTCACAGTTATTGAGATGAAGCTGTATTCTGTCAAAACAACAAAAAAATTGAGGTTTATTGTTTCAGAATCTAAACATAAATCACCTTTCAGATCTCATTTATAGAGCAGTGCAAGACACCTGCACTGAAGCCGTGACTACAACTGTTTAAAATTCATATCTTTTTCCCTCATATTTGTAGAACAGAAATGGGAGGAGGGGGAATCTTATTTCTACAGCTGTTCCATGTTCTTTTTCCATATACTAGAATTTATGAGCCAACTTGTAGAGCTTCCACTTTTCAAAGCACTGAATTAACATTTTTTCCTTCCATTTAGAAAAGCAGCAGCAAAGGTTGTACAGTATTAGTCCACCTTTCATGAAACCATGTCTGGAGGAGTCCAATTCCTTCTTAGTTAGCCTCACCAGTGTTCCTCATCCTCCTGTCCTCATCAGTACATTTACTAAAAATATCTAGGGGAGAAAACTCCTTCCCAAACAAATGCAAGATGTTCTTGCACAACTCAGGAATCCTCAGTGAAATGAATTCTCTCTTCTGCTGGTTCAGGCAGTCACACAACTCCTTACCGTTCCCTAACGGATTTTCCACAGATGAAACATGTCCATTTTCTCTTTCCTCCATGAGTACATTCTATATGGCGTTTCAGATTTCCTGTATCATTAAATTGGCGGCCACAAATATCACAAGGAAAAGGCCCTAAAAGGAGACAGGCACACATAGTACTATCAGCTGTCAGTTAACCCAAACAAGATGCACAGACTGCTTACTTGGGAAAAGACTTTACAAAGCAAAAGTTCTGGCTAGAAAATTATTACTGTTTAGTACAGTCAGGATGCTTGAATCAGACTTTGTGCACTTTCTGCTCAGAGAAGTTATTTCTAATACCAGTTATTTTGTCAAGTTTAATTATTGTAAGCAAAAACTGAGAATTAATAATCAAAAGTAATTAAGCCCACTTAGACTGTTTGAAAAACCAAATTCCCATTACTATCACCAATCTAGTTCTTACCCAGCGGAAATAAAATTAAAAAGTCTTTGGAAAACTTCAGAAAGAATGGGACTCCACAGTTGAGAACCAATTTCATGCAAAGAACTTTTAAAACAAAACTAACCTTAATTCTTCTTCCCCCAAAAAAGTTGCATTTATTTACGTACAATACAATGCCTCAAAAAAAACCAACCGAACAGAAAAGTAAAAAACCAAACAACAACGAAAACAATCAACTCCCCCACAAAACTAGAAAAACAGAGAACTGGGAAAGTGGGGTGGAAACCAGACTGATCGGGACATACAATGATGGAGGAAGGTTTGACTTTAAATCTATTGTTTACATGTCAGAAGGAGGTTTCTATACCGAGATGGAATTTTTCTTGATGTTTCAGTCTTGCAAATCTGGACTTAAAGTGCTCTTCACAGTAGGTACACTTAAAGGGTTTATCCTGAGAGTGAAGGATCATATGCTCTTCTAAATGAGGTCTTCGAGTGAAAGATTTCTTACAAATCTAAAATGATAATACACTTCGTCAAAGATATATTAGCTATAACCAGATTTTTTTCCTATTCACATAAACTCTAACAGTTTAATGTTAATTAATTTTTTTAGTTTCCACAGGCATTTAGACTAGGTATTACAGTTTAACATCAGGGTCCTATGCCTTAACAGAAATCAACACGGTGTTTGCTGATTTCACTGGGAAACTGTTGCCATTGTTTCTAATAGCTGAATTTAGTACTACCCAACTCCCCAACTCATGCAATCATCTTCTCAGAACACACCTGAAAAACACTCTTTTAGCCTCAGAAAATCAGAAGCAACAGCTTCATATTTTTAAAAAATTAATTACTGTTAAATATCAGCGTAAGAAAACCCCATACCTGTAAAAAGTATAACAGCCTTTTTGCTTCTCTTTACTATTAATATCTACTGTTTCTGAGAATTTGCTCATATTCCTTAAGGAATAAAGTATGGTCACAAAATTCTGGTGTTCATACATGGACGGCAGCATAAACCAACAACACGAAGAAATCCTGTGGCACCTCACCCCTCAGAACATACTAAACAACCTGAAAACAAATTCACAGCTCCAAAGGGTTCTGCTCATTCTCCAACTGCTATAAAAGCTAAAATTCTACCCCTGTTTTTAATTCAAGTCCATTTTCGATGCCCATGTACAAGATGCCCATGTACAAGAGCAGCAGCCCACTTTTAAAAATTTCTCCTTAACACAAACTTAAAATTTTCTATCAAAAAGAAAAAAACAAACCCAAACCACAAAGTGAAGTTTAACAAATCATTCATCCACTAAGAGTACTTTCTGAGAGATGAACATCATAACAACCTAACTTCATCTGTAAGGTAACCATAACCCTTTGGTCAACCATATAATATCTCCAAGCATGGTACCATCAGCAGCAGATGAACACTACAAATTCCTACAGTTGAGATCTCCCAACCTCCTACTATATGTTAATAAGTGAAAGTTCATAAACGAAGCAAAATTAGTTATTATGTTATGGCATCTAATATTACAGACATAGAGACCCATAGAGCATCTTGCATAAACAGCTGTCCTGAAAAAAAAGAAAGTAAACTAATTCCTTTTTAAAAAAAAAAAAACGAAAAAAAAACCAAACCAAAAAACCCCAACAAAACCCCACATTTGAAAATTTATATTTGCCAGAAGACAGAGAATGGAAGTTCTACAACATCCTTTTTATAGTAGATGTATGTTCACACATATACCTCTCCTGCGGAAAATCAAGGAAAGGATTCTATAATTTTCTACTTTATGGTCAGTGTTCAATGTGCATAATTAATGGCAGAGCAAATACTCTGTTTCTAAAGTATTCATAACACTCAAGCCTAATAATCTGCAAATTGATGTATTTTAACAACAGTAATAGCTGATTACATGAAAAAATAGTGCCTTCAACTATTTCAGAATTCAGTCTGGTATTATCAACTGGGTCACAAGCTGTACATACAGAATAAAGTTCAGTCTTTAAATCAGGACATAGAGAAGAAATTTATACCATCACTTACAAAGCTTACTGAGATGTCACAGAAACACAGACTAGATTTTCACTTAAGTATTCAAGTCACAAAACAGCGCAGTATCTATATGAAAAAAAACAGAAGTACCAAAAGTACTTACATCACATTTCCAGCCTTCACTCTTGGTCTTCTTGATAGAAAGAAATTCTTGTACATTCTCCGGATGAAACCTAGGAGGAAGACCACCCAAATACTAAATATCCATTTCTAAACTTTGTGTGTTATGAAAGTTGATCACCAAACAGAATACTGATAATTAAACAATTCTAAAGGCACAAGTAACTGGCAAGCAGTGTTGACTATAGACTCCTGTAGAATCTCATATGACAATTGGTAAGACAAAGGACAGTTTCAATTGTAATGCTTTATGGATATTTACAATGAAAGAGAAAAAAAGCCGTATGTAAATAATAATACTTTATAAGTAGACCTGTCATAAACAAATTATTCACCTAAAGGAATTGGTATGGAAACGGTTTATCCACCTATCATCATCAACAGCATAGTATCAACATCTAAAACCAAAGATATGTTATTCTTCCTCTAAATAAAAGCAACACAGGTAATTAATTATGAAGACTCTTGTGTTCTGACTGACTCTGCTAGCTAATCTGAGCATTCTAAAATTTATAGTAAAAGCCTATGATAGAACTCTCACAGGACTTCTATCGCTATTTAGTAAATCCCTATGCACTCCTTATGGCAGGTATGATACTGATAATCCCCATGCCCTTTGAAAAGATACTTATTTGAAAAAACAGTTACAGAAATAATGCAGAACATGCTGTGGACACACATACATTTATCTTCACTCCTGAACTGAAAAAAAAAAAAAAAAAAAAAAGAAAGATTCTTCAAAAACGTGCTCATACTTGCCTCTTCACGTGCTTTGCTAAAGTCTTTTTGCTTGCATGCAGCTTATGGCAGTAGGGACATTTGTGTTCCTTTTTATGAAAGTCAGTATCACTGGAGTGTTTCTTTCTGTGCACTGTCAGGTTGGACTTGGTTGAATAGCGCTGATGACATATATCACACTCAAAAGGCTTCTCACCCGTGTGTACACGTGTATGGCTCTCGTATTTGCCTAGACAACAAAAACAACAACAAAAAAATCTGTTACCACCAACTGTACCAGGTATCACCTACAATACACTCATTTGGGGTTTGTTCTGTAACACCTTTGCCAAACGTGGTCAAGAACTAAGTACCTTCCACACACATCTGAAGATTTCTACTGGTTTATACCACTGAAAACTGCATGGTGATCACATACACCTTTGATCTAAGGTTCCTCCACACACTTCCATCTGAACTATTTTTACAATAAAGAGTAAAAATCAAAGGGTTCTGTATTACTGTTAAATCTGGGTGAGGGCTACGAGCCACTCTTGTTTAACCTTGCAGCATACTCTGTTCTTATGTACTGAAAGTTATGCTGCTACTCTTTCATTACACTGATCATGAAGTACCTCTTCAGAACAGGGAACAGACTTGCAACAAACTGGTTATTTTTAAGGTACTTTCAAATAACAAAACACTGAATGAATGATACAGGCCCTTGAAAATGACATTTGTGACCCAAGATATTACCATAAACAAAAATATTATTCTCCCACTTCTTTCACACTACTTTATTCCCTCTTCTGTTTGACACGTTTTTATTACCATAAACAAAAATATTATTCTCCCACTTCTTTCACACCACTTTATTCCCTCTTCTGTTTGCCAGGTTTTTTTCTGGGGATAGAATTCAGTCCTACAATGAGGACCTACCTACCTAAAGTCAACAGCAGGCTCTCTGCTTTGTATTAGATAATTTTTTTTTTCTCTGTAGAATATTCATCTTACTTCTGGGAGTTAGATAAAGAAAAAAAAAGTACTGTAGCTCATAAATTTAAAATACAGTTGTCTACAGTAATACCAGCTTATGAAGAAATACTTCATGTATCACTTGCTTTAATGCTATTTCTCTTTTATTTTTTGAGTATAAAACTAGAATTCCAAGTCATGAAAGCGCAAAGAGAAAAGGACCTCCAACGTGTGTAAAACTGAAATGTACCACTACAACCCCAAATACTCACAAGCCATTTATTTCTGCACCACAGTAGCTTTTCAATATTAATAACAAAGCTCTCAAATACGGAAAATTTCCTATGTTGGTTTAATTTTAAGATATTGCATTACAAGTAAGTTAAGTCCCACATTTTTAATGTTAAATAGCTTCTACGATATAATTTGTGACATTGGAAAATGTGTTTCACCTCAGCAAACTAAGCACACTGTGTGTGAGTAGGAATTAACACACACCAGCCCCACTCCATTTTCATAAACTCGTAAAAATTTCCAAATTATGAAAGACACAATGCATCTATTAAAGAACAACAACAACAAAAAAGTCCAACACTATGAGGAACTGTTTCTTTCCTAATTCCGATGATTGAAAGGAAGTCAATACCTTACGTGACCATAATTTAACATTTATTCCAGCTGAAAGAACACCAAAATTCTTGAGTACAGTAGTAAGTTATTTCTAACGTGGGGAAGGGGGACAGAAAAGCTGGAATCTTGACTCTTCTGATATCCTGAATAACTATACACCTAGATTTGACTGTAACAGAAACGATCCTAACAAAACAGATTAAGCTGACAAAGTATTACTTGGTGTTAACTACAGACCAGAAGAATCAAGCTAGAAGTCAGAGTGGCTGGATGCTAAGCATCCTGTAGAATAGAAGAACTTCAGGCTGTGTGACAATGGTGCTGTTTTACTTCAGCAATAATGACAGCTTTGTTACTAAAAATGAATTTGGCAGAAAATACAACACAGGTTTCAGACTTCATGCAACTCATCATTTAATATCCTGCTATATTTCCCTCTTTTTTCAATGCTGCTTTTACATACAATGCTAGCAACCAGAATCCAGAGCACTGAAAAAGATCTAAATTCAGCATTTGCAGATTTTTCATTTATTGAAACTGTTTAGCACCACACATATAAAATACATTCAGAAAAATCAGCAGCACATTGCATCAGTGAGATGATCCAGAAATTCTAATAATCACTCTCTAGGACAGAGATAAAGCTCATTTTACTTCCCATATACATAGCACCACCTTATGCTAAAAAGTAGAGAGATCAACCTAACTTGGTCTTACCTATTCGATCAAATTTTTTATCACACTTGGGACACTGCAGTAGTTTTTTGCTACTGTTTTGAACGATGACTGGAGCTAAGCCTTCAGGAATATTTCCCACCGAATCAACTGGCTCAGAACCCTCTTCAGTATCATTCTGTTCTTTTTCGCTTTGTTCTTCAGACTCTGAATCTTCACCTGACATTTCCTCTTCCTGTCCCTCTTCATCAGCATTGCATTCACTTTCACTATCTTCAAATTCACTTCTATCAGATGTTTCCTTGTCAGAACTGACTTTTTCCAAATTGCTGTCAGAGGCATCACCACTTTCACTGTCACTGTCATCAAATTTGGCTGGACATCTACGGCTTCTCATAGAACGTCTCGTGGAAAAATCAGCCTTCTCAACCATTTTTAACCCATGTTTTCTCTCCAGGGAAAGGGATCTGTGGGCTTTAGCCAAATGATTTTCTAAGGACTTCTTGTAACAAAAGCTTCGATCACAAAAGGTACACTGGTGGCTATTTAACAGTTTACCCGTCAGTTCATTGAGTGTTTCTACTGGTGCAGGTGCATCTGTTACCACGTCAGTCTGTATGTTAGAAACACCTTCATTATTTAGTAACTTCACTGCATCTATGATATCTAAAAATTTTGCTGCTTCCAGCACCAATGGAATTTCATTTTTATACACAAAAAATTCAGAGGTGTAGAGAAACTCAAGCAAATGCTGAAAGACAGAATGAGTTACGTGATCTAACGTGACAACATCGGTGCTTGGATTTTTGCTCAAACAGGCATGAAAATAACTACTCCCAACAGCCACTACAACTTTGTGAGCACTAAATTCTTTTCCTTCTACAATTATGAGTAAATCACAAAATGACGGATGTTTCTGTCTATCATCATTTAAGTATTTAAGCAGATTTTTGTTATACTGCAATGAGCTTAGGAGCTTTCTTTGTTCTGATGATGGCGAAAGTTCTTGGGAAGATTCAAGCTGATCTGCAGGAGCTATTTCTGCAGACTTGGAGACAATTTCTTGTGCACAGTCCACTATAAGAATCTGTTCTGAAGTATCTTTCTTGTGGCCAAAATGAACTTTTTCTTTTAGATTTGCAGCGAGCCGTCTCCTTTTCTTCATTGCAGAAGTGCAACTTCCAAATCAGGAGCTTCATAGGTGACTGGGAAGAAGTTCTCGTGAAGACTCGGTTCTGCTCTAGACCTTGAGAAAACACCTAACAGTAAATTCATAATCTGCAAAAGAATCACAATAAAAATTACTCTTAACTGTAACTTCGTTATTTATTAACACTTCCTGTATTTCACTCTTAGTTCTATCTACCCCGCGTATCTTATGCTTTTATTAAATTACTAAAATCTTATCACTTCCCATTCCAGACCAGAGCAAGCGAACGGCCTATTATTAGACCTGAAGAGGAGCCGGGGGCTGGTTGTGCTCCTCTCCCAGACGCATATAGCCCATGAAACGCTCCGGGAGGGGCGTGCACTGTTGTTATTATTATCACACCGA